TCTCTCTCTCTCTCTCTCTCTCTCTCTCTCTCTCTCTCTCTCTCTCTCTCTCTGTCTTTCCACCCTTAGAAATAATTAAACACATCCTCCCAACGCTTTTTCCGACCCATCTCGTACGAATATTCCCGTCGCTTCTCGTTTCTACGTGAGAGCTACCGGTTTGTATAGCCGATGAGACGGATACTTTCTACGATTAACCGGCTGAAATTTTAACAGCTCACTCAGACGAAAACGATGGCTTTCTTCCCTCTTGGCTACGGCGGTGGCAGTATTTTTTCTAGATATTAAATGAAAGACATATAACTGCACTTTGGGCTGGAACGCCCGGAACTTTTGCGACATAAGATTCCTTATTGCATACGAAATTATTGTAACGCGATGCAAAATATTTTCCATATGTTTCGCCCGATCGAATAGAAACGAAGGCCGTCGATACGAAATTTATCAGTTCGCCAAAACTGATATCGCATTTAGAATTTGCATGTCAAAGTTGCCGCAGATTAGTCGATTCGATTTTCAGGCAGCACGGCGCGCGCGAGTTTGTCGACCAGTAGTATATATTATTTCGTTATTTGCTTCAATGGAGTTATTTGTAGCCGTGTTGCAATGTGGACATGGTAAAACTCACGGACTGAAGCGGCTGACGAAGTGGAAATGCAACGGGCGTAGCAATAAACGCATTGATCGGCCGAAGAATAAATAGCGCCGTGCTTTCGGCTTTCGGTGTATTTCGGACCAATTTCCTACGTGGAGGCAATGAGCCACTAGCCGGCGCTACCCGCGAATCGAGGGGTTCCCTGCGGAACGGTTCCCTCGATTAGCTCGTTGAAATTTTAACCACGCGCTGTCAACCGGTGAGTTAATTTAACGTGCAATTAAGAACGCGGCGTTTCCGTCGTGGATTGCAGCACGACTGTTTCTAATGCAGTTGCCGGCGTGGTTTCTGCATGAAATTCGAGGACCGTGTAATTTCCTTTCCGCGGGACAAATTGCTGATTAATTTGGCAAATAGCTGATGTGCAAATTTGTCATTGGCAAACGTGCCGGCTTCTCCTCCCGTTCAATTGTTTATTGCTTTCGTTAATCGCTACCGCGACTATTTGCGTTTGCGATTCATCAGACTTCTCGAAGGGCTTGTTTTTACTACGGATGCGTTGCCGAAGACTTTTGGAATTTGCCGATCCTGACCGTTTTACTCCGGCCTCGAGAAGTACCTTTGAATTCTTTGAATCGCCGCGGCCGCGCATAGGAAAATGTTTATTCAAAATTATGAAAATTTATGAAAATTCTGTTACCGTGTATGACGATAAACGGATTCCCCGGAAAAATGTTTTATGACAATTCATCGGTTTCTACTGATACTCGGCTGTTGCGATTAGCACGTTGAAATTTCAACCACGAATGTCAGCTGAAACGCTTCACCGTACGATTCGCCGTACGTGATCCCTCTGACACGGAAATAACATAGTTTTATCTCCGAAATTAAATATACTTGCGAGAGAACGGTTTTTGTCAGCAATGAAAGCACGTTATTGAATTTATTTGCGGCGAATTCGCCGCGTATTCGGATAAAAGTGCCCCGGCGGATGAAATGCAGGCTTCGCCTTCCTAAAAAAATTTCATCGATTACTTTTCTAGTGTTCGTGAAAGAAGATATTAGATACCATCAATATTGCCAGTTTTCAGGTCCAATGTACGTTTATTGCGAAAGGTTTGAAAGGAAGCGAAGTAGCGTGTGTACGCGAATAACAGACTAATGCTCCTCTCCCTCTCGCCGGATTTCCGTCTCGTCCTTGCCGTTTTACGATACATTCTCCGAGCAAATACGTTAGAGGTTTGGTAGCTGTTTCAGATTTCTTTCCCAACGCGAGTGGCGCAACGTTAAACCCTGAATGTCCGTGGCGGATATTATATTAAAACGCCTTTCTTTCGTAACGCGAGAAGCTGGAATACTGCAGCGGAGGAAACGAACATTGTTTTCATTCTAGTGCGACATCTCCTTCGAGTCCTGTTCGTATAACACCACTAAAGTGCACCCTTGTCATTCCCCTCGAAACCGTCGCATTCAGAAATCTCGGACTTCACTTCGCGAGGGAGCTACGAAATGTTTAAGACTGGAGGGGGGTAAATAGGTTTTTTGCGGATGAAATAAATAAATTAAAAAAACGCAATGCGGCTGGCACGATGTGTTTGCGTTATCAATTTTAATTTGCGATGATTGGACGCGAAACCACTTTAATAAAGTTTTGATCTGTCCGACGCTCTTACCGCAAATAAAAATTGAATTTAAATGAAACAATATGGAACGCGTGGATTGTTTCGCATTTAAAGTTGATAAGTTTTAAATGGCGGCACAATATCAATCGAAGATTGAAAAAATTGGAAATATTGAAATTTTTCTGCTCTACCCTCCGAGTACAAGTTCAATAAAACTTGATAAACTTAATAAAAATTTGTATTTTTTAGTTTTTAATATTATTTTTAGTCAGATGCGATTAATTATGATCATAATTATTCCTCTCCCATAATAGTTTTTTTTTTAATATTCCCCCGTCTGTAAAAATTTATCAATAATATTGGAAATTCAGGTATTTATATGTACAAATTTTGTTGATTTAAAATTCGTGGCGATATCAGGGCACCTGTTTTCATTTGGTATGGTAATTGAATACTTTTACAAAAAACTAGAAATAATATATAAAATAAAATTCTATACGATATGATTTCATCAATAATTAATAACCCATACGTTCATTTATTAATCTTTGTTTGCTCGTTTCATGGCTTTTTCTGACTGTAAAAAAATTTATTTATCCGTGAAAAGTAAATAAAAGCTCGTGTTTGATAATTGTATTCACAACCAGAACGCGCTGATTCATTCTCTTTTACACATTATCCAGGCGTTACTTTACATCGCATCCTAGATTTAACTGTTTAGCTGTTATACTTGAATCTACCATTTTCCTAAAAAAAAAGTAAGAACATTGATCATTAATTATTCGCAGCACCGATGCATAATATCTGGCTGCACGTTTATTTTTCTGATTCTCCGCACTGGTATTCGATATTGTCGCCGGATAAAAATACGGAAAAACCGTACGTACCGCGACGGTTCGATCAGCGGCGCACCTTTTACGTCGTTTCTCTTCTTTATCGTTTGGTCCGCAAATCACGCTTCAATGCATCCACACTGTTTTTCAATCTTGCATCATATACACCAGACGCGACCACCTGTGCTTTTCACGCAAACTCGGGAAACTCAACAACTTTTTAGTTATCCCCTTCAATTTACGTGCGGTTAGAGCTGTTTCTCTCTATCTGTCACTCCTTCTATCTCTCTTTTATTCTCTTCCCCTCCCTCTGTCTCGCTCTCTTTCATGCTGTCAATTTTTTCACTAAGCTTAATACCAGGGGCCGCAATTTTAGTAACCCGCGCGTCACAAAGGGTCGGCATTTTTAACAAAAAGGGTTGGTCGATGTGTCCACGTGTTTACCTGATTCCCACTTTTGTTAGCAGCCTCTATATATCGAGTTATCACGGCAGAGAACACCGCGCATCGTTCTCGCGCTGAACAAACTGCGTGAAAAGCATAACGAAGACTGGGATAATAAAACGAAATAATATCGGCCGTTCCTTAACAAACGGCTGAATATCATCCGGTGTTTCGCGAGAATAACATTTTATGGGATTCTTTAAAAATGCGTCGGTGCGATCGACTTCTCTCGTGGAGAATTGATGGGCTTCAAACGACATTCACGGAGTCTCCTCGCGACTAAAAGAAAAATAACAAAAAACCGTTTTCCCTCGCGTATATTATTTTCCTATATCCTACCATTTCGATCCTACTCTCGGGTTACAAGCGAGATGTATCGAGCCGGAACGTTTTGATGGTCATCTGCAATCGAACCAGTAATCTCCTCTCATAAATTTTGGGAAGGGACTTCAACTGTCTCCGAGCACCGCAAGTGATCGGTAGCGCTCTGTACCGTATTGATCTACACCCCCGTCCCACATGCAATGGAAACCGAAAACTTCTCCGCGCTTGCACGCGCTGGTTCGCAATCAATTCGGCGGAGCTGATACGCGCCTACGAATCTGCATTTGTTTTCGCGCGGCAGGAAAGGGCCTGAGCAGAATGGCCGTCTTGTATTCTTAAGTCGCAAGACAGTTATTGTGTGTTACTTTAAAGCCCGGTCTACAATGAGGCAGAAGTCAGTGGTCAGAAATCATAAATGAGTCATAAGTCACTATAATCAGGCCAATCAGAGACGAGGAAATTTATAGGCAATCATTTGCCTCAAAAAAAGATTGATTTCATTTTATGGTGAATTTACTGTGAACAAAATTGTTAAAGATAAGCATAGCTCTTGGGCTGTTAAAGTGGAATGACCCCTTCAATCGACAACTCTCCGCAATTGTAATTCAGACAATTCGCAAAACAATCTCGACGAGTCGTAATGCTTTTCAGACCGTACAAGAAGAAAAGAAAGGAAAGATAGGAAGGCTGGGACAGCGAAGGTCTGTAAAGTTGGCGCCCCGAAGTGTCAATTTTTACAAAATTAATTAAAAAATTGTTTAAATTATGACAAACATTTTTTTGTGTTAGATACTTAAGAGTGCCCTAACGAATCCCAAAAAGATTGATTTCATTGTATGCGGTATTTACTGTGAAAAAAATTGTTAAAGATAAGCATAATTTTTGGGCTATTAAAGTGGAACGACCCTTAAGACAAAGATTTGAAACACAAAACCATTGTCTTAAGAGTACAAGACAGCCATTCTGCTCAGGTCCAAAGTCGTTAATGCGAACGGGGCGATCGCTGCACGAGGTCAAAGTGGTTCTCGTCGAAACAATCGGATTCACCGGCGATCGTTGAACCGATCGTGCCATTCCATGTGCAAGCTAATTATGGCACTCGACGAAATATTTCCCTCCGTATATCTGCCGCGTTTGACGTACAATTACATTCGCGCACTGTTTCGAATGCGTCGCACTTACAAATTGATCCCGTCGTATCCAGCCCCGATGCCGACGTGATCCACCCCGGCTATCTTCCGCACGTGATTGATGTGCGCTGTAACATATCACGAAAATTGCATGTATTACGTAATCGTAGTAATGCCCGTTGCGCTTAGCGTGCACCGCGATATACGGAGCGCGTAGCTCATTTGCCATGTAACGAGGAGAATTACATTCGCCATCCTAACCGCGGACTGCCTGCGAACGCGGCTGTGAACGCGGCGCGGACGATTTTTCAACCGCGACTAATAACGCCGCGAGTTACTACCCTCACCGAGGGCCGCAAAGAAAATTACCTACGCTTGTATTATGTATTTCTCCCCCGTTTCCATTGTTGTCCGCCAGCAATACTTATTCCTTTTTTTTTTTCGCACACATTTGACGTACAACGTCGTGCGTCCGTTGCAGCCCCGCGTTTGCATCCCGGCTGCCTAGTTAGTCCACAATTGCTAACACAATTCTCCACGTCGCGCATAATTAATTCCTGCTTTTAATACAAGAGAAGATTGCGCTCGCGAATCGGAATAGCCTAGAAGGCATCCGTTAACGCTGCGCGGACTCGTCTTTCTAGTTACGTGAGATATCGAAAGGGACGGTAAATTAGTTCGCAATTAGCGCGGTCGCGCGCAAATTGCACAAAAATTCCAGGGAAAAGGTTCGCACACGCGCGTTAATCCTCGGTCGAGATACCCGGGCAACCGGAATACAGACGCTATTTGTTCATTGCTGCAGTGAGAAAAATGTCCGATTAAATATAATCGAATAATTACATAATAACAGACGGACATATCCGATGACAAATGTGATCGGCTTTTCAATCAAATTTAATCGGTAGCTGCATTTTTCAGCGGACAAATTTCACCGGATGCGTCCATAATTTAATCGGAGAACGTAATCGGAAAAATTAACCACCGAAAACACCATTCAATTGGTTTATCCGATGAAAATTTTTCTCAGTGTGGCAATCGTGTTTGTCAATGCAATTCTCCCACGTGGGCAAATTTCGCGGTGTGACTTCTCCCCCCGCCGAAGATGGATAAAATCGAATAATAATTTCAACAATGAGATCGCGAACGCGCGCATAAACAATGAAAATTTGCATATCCGTCAGACGGATGTTATTGTTAACTCGGAAATGGTTGCGCGCGCGGATATAATTTACACCTCGGTAATGTAATGTATCACGGATGTAATTTACACTCCGCAGTGCGACGCAAAATTCAAAAGACAATTTCATACACTTATCGGAATTACGGGCGCGTTTCGCCCCCGAGTCGATAAATTGCCGAGTTACCGCTCGGGAAAATATTTATATTTAATATATTATATTTTAAGCGATATGGCGATATTTTAAGTGATAGGGGATTATTTTACATTCTGGACGCAGTAATTAAAAACATCATATTTAATTGTACCCGTAATATTATTTCTCTATTTATTTTGTGCACTTTCAATTTAAACAACCTGACGAGCTGCGGATCGATGCTGACGCAATTAATTTTATATTAGTTTCTGTAAACAACATCGTCGATCATTTTTATGCGAGAACGTATAACGATCGATATTCTCTCTCTCTCTCTCTTTAATTTTACAGAATATAATACGCGTTAGCAAGCCATCGGTTACCGATCACCGTAAGCTATTTTCTTCCGCGCGACGTACATGGGCGGCCAAAAATCAACAAGAAAAGTACCTGTCTAATGAATGTTAATGCATTTACATGGCTTAGTGTACATAATGGATAACGGCACGTCAGTCACGCGGACACGACATGCATAATCGATCGGGTAAATGACATAATTCATAGCCGATCAGACTGTAGAATAACGGCGCGCCTCATTGCGCCGCAATTTTGTTCGGGGCTCGAGTTGCCGCGCGATGCGGAACATATCAGAAACGTCACAAATTTCGATTTTCGCGTTTGCGCGGCGTTGCTCCCGCGTTATCTCCATTATATCGTAAATTATATGTCGGCCGGCTCGGTGCGGTCTTTCAAAATTGATCGCGATTCAACGGGGCACGTCGTTACCAAGCGCGGCTAGAAAATCACGTTACGGTGAGTAAGGAGATGAGCGGCACACGGCCTCGCTGATCGGAAATTCTGCTTTTAACGAGATTTCGACACGTACGTGGGCAATTTTCCGAAAAATCCCTCCCCCCCCCCCCCCACCCCCGGCATTTGTCGCAATTAGAAAATTGTTCGTGTCGCGGCGTATCGATCGCGGGAGGAAATGAAAGGGGGGGAAAAACAGATGAAAGCTGTTTGCGCGGAGATCTTTGCAAAGTGCTTCCGTCAAAGGACCGCGCGGGTGACTTTGTCGCATGGCTGCCGCACGTTGCCATAAACGGAGGAGGTTTGCATTTGCATTGCGTTCCCGTTGCGTCGTTGACGGTTGTGCCATTAGCAGGTTGCCACGAGATCTTTCGATTTGCATGTACGACGTAAACAGCGCGGTTGACGTTTGTTTGGGCAGAATAACGTGCGAATGTCTCCCGGGATGCGCTGCATTTTAATGCATCGCGCGGAACACGCGCGGAATACACAAAGTCCTACAAAGTGGCAGTGAAGAAACGGCGTTGCGTAAATGGCGAGTCGCTAAAACGGAACATATTCCAGCGGGATATATGTGTATGTCTGTTCGTGTGCGCGCGTGTGTGACAATCCGACGCCAGTTCCAGCACGGAGAAAATCGATCCTACCTGTAATTAAAATTTCCCCGATTGTCTCGCCAATGGGCCAAAACTGAGAATACAAATCGCGCATCTGCGCGAATAAAGTCTGGCGAATGTGATTTAGAGGCGCGACGCGAACAGGGGGGGGGGGGTTTAAACGGCGCGCGTTTCGCCGCGAATCGGAAATAATTTCCGCAACATCTGCGGCGTACGCGCGCATCGCCGAAGACGGATACGCCCGTCGGTTCGCGGTTTCAATTCGCGGCGGCGCGAGCTGAAATCGAGAAAATTGCGTTCGCGCGGCAAACAAAGACGGGGGGATTGTTCGGCAAACGTAACGCGGGGAGTTGCGATAGCGCGAGTCTCGCGCCGTTTATTATTAACCCGGGGCGATTGTTGCGCGCCCGGTCACCGCGGGATCAGCTTTGCTGGGAAAGGGCGACGGGACAGGACGAGGGAAAAGGCCGAGCGCGGCGAGAGCGCTCGAAATCAATCATCAGCGTAATACGGCGCCAATGGCCACGGGGCTGAGAGAAGCGCGTTGCGATATCGAAATTATCATTGCGCGCCCGCTATCTCCAACGCACTTCCGCAAATAATTTTCTTCCCCGCCCACCCCCGGGTGGACATAATTTTCTCCGCGGCTCGGTGGCCATCGATGTAAAACAATTATAGAGATGCTGCCCGCGGAAGGAAGCGATTATTCAGGCACCCGGCTACGCCCGATTACGCTACGTCCGATGCGCGGCCATCTGGACCAGCAATTATCATTTGTTCCTTCTTTTGTCGCACGGTCGCGCGACGCGTTATCCGGGATGCGCGTGTTGCAATTCGACCGACCGTTCACGGGCGATTCGCGCGGTATCGTGAAATTTGCAGTTGCATCGAGGCGGGATATGTTCTGCGCCGCAAAGTACGCCGCATCCACGGGGGAGGGGGTTCTTTTTTGGTAGAAAGCACACGGAAACACTGGGTAATGGCGACACAGAGATTATCGCGATTCTAGAAAAACTACAAATTTTCCGGGGTTCCAAGTCCGAGGCTGGCCTTGCGCGCGAGATCCCGGAGATTAGCGGACGAAAAATGGACGAAATTACAGAATTTATTATCTCGCGTTTGTTATCCACGCGGGGATTATGAATTAGGGATAATTTTTCATTCCTCGGGGTAACCGAGCGAGATTTCAGGGGGGTCGTCGTCGATTCGCTCCTTTTATAGATCAGAATTCACTTTCGCGTTTCACAAAAAAACTGGCGTCGTTTGACAATACCGCAAACAGAATTGGCTGCTCCCGTGTCACGGACGCTTTTTTTGTTTGTCACGCTTGCCTGCAGAAGCACTCGGTTTTCGCAGGGTGCACTCCGAATCGCGGTTTGGCCGCGGAAAGTGTGAACTTTAGATTACGCCCTACACGCGATGGCTTCGGTTTCGCGATCGATCTCGCCCGCCGCGGAAAGGTACACAGTTAATTTTATAAAATGCAATATATACTGCACCATGGTACGGGAAAGTTGTATCATCATCTTGCAGTGGAATTTCATTTTTACCAGGCTGTCAAAATTAATCATTTCTCTCTTAGAAAATAATGATTGATTTAGAAATTATTAGCTCGCATCTCGAACGGGAGATATTACGCCTCGCTGCAATTTAATCTCACATAGAGTTTCACGGAGCTTTAATACATGCTGGATTAAAATCCTATTCCCATGATTCGTACATAGCTAATTGTATCAAGAACATACACAGCCGTTTATATTACCGGCGCGGTCTGAAATGTTAATGTCTTCGGAACTTGGAGCCACTCTGTAATAATGCAAATATGATGGCAACCCGCGGGAATTGGCACCTAACGCGAAAACTCATTTGCTCGCTTCAGCAGCGAAACGCTTCGGATGTTCCCTTTGCGACGTCAATAGCGACGTTAAAAGCCCACGGCTGCGGGAGGCACGCCAGTCGCAAAAAGAACGGATTTATTGGACGCGATTTCTGTTTCCCTCTCAATTAATTATCTCGGAACGGAGGGAAGGTGACGATCGTCGTGCTTCAAGTTATAAAAAAATGGAGGCACGCCGAAGCAAAACTGCCGTACCATTGAAAAAGACATTGACAAAGAACGTTTACCATTTTAATCAATGCCGTATTTGTTCTCCATTTCGGGAAAAAAATGCGAAAATATAAATCTGGGGAACGGACGATTTTATCCAGATATAGAATTGTATGGCGTGCGCATTGTGTTGTTCAAAAAATGCGCGATAATGACACATTTTGGTGCAGATATCGAGCATTAAGCCCGTACAAGCGCGTATAATACATGCAGCTGAGTGGATTTTATGAAATTTTATTTAATACATGGCGGGGGGCGAACGAGCCGATGGTGAAACATCTCTTTTTATGGCTACAGGTTTCGCGATCGCGAGGCTATTAATAATCGAAACGTAACAAAACGTATCATCCGCTCACCTGCCACATCTTCGAGCGTCGATTTCTCGCCACAGCTGATAAAATGGGGGTAGAAGGATACCATAACTATACCACCGGTCTGCGCCTGTAAATGAAATATTCGTATTTTTTATCGTATTCCCTGAATTTAATGAAACCTAAAAATGTTATTTATTTAAACCTCTTTTTATGGAATTTATAATGTACCGAACAAAAAGCATATCTGTTCAAAGTTGTGATGATTTATTTAACTGTCCTGGTTAAGAATGTGTGAAAGTCTTCGTCAAAAAGGAAATAACGAGGTGACTTGATTTAGGATAAATCGTTACAACTTTTGAACCGCTTGTCGGAAAATTAGACCATTCTACTCAGGCCCTTAGCTTACCAAAAGTCGCAGCGCGTGGTCAGGCACATTTCGCGAGGAGTTGCAAAGAGCGTGAGCGCTGCTGTGACTGAAAATCACGGGCGCCCTCGACGTCGTCATGGCGGCAAGCATCGTGGGCACCGAGACATGAGATAGGTCCACCATCATCCCAAGTCGATTCATCTCCAGCACGACACTCTGAAAAGTTTCACGGCGCGGCCGTTAAATAGTTTCGATGCTCGCGAATGCCCGTTCTCACGATAATGGTATCGAGGCGCCGCGGATTAAAATACTTGGAAGGATCTCGGACTTCGCGTTGAAAGACATTCCGGTGCAACTCTCGAATATTCTTACGATAAACCGACGCTAATCCGGATTACATGGACTCGCGGAGATTCGCGGAAACCGCTCGAGAATAATGCAATGTACACACTATCACACGATTCCTCTTATAAATTATTCCCTTTGCAAACTTACGATTATGGTCCTGATACATTTTTCGGACGAGCCACTCGGAAGAAGGGGCGCCTCTTGTTTATCGTTATTGCTTTCTTAAGATTAAAGTAGAACGTACCGAGAATTTGTTACGTATCTGTCGGATTGCTCTTCGAATTAAATTTCGCGTTAGCAGCGGAGCAGGAGGACTGGTTTATAGTGCGCGCACGTTAGGTCGGTGACACTTATTACACGAGTCGGATTGAGCTTCAGAACGAATTCTTTCTGGAGCTACAACCTTCTCGAGAAGAATGCCAATGCGAGGGGCAGCGGTCCGTACAATAAATCGAAAAGTCGGATTTTCTATGCTGCATTCGCCAGTCAATATGCTTAAGCGACAACAATCGTATCTAAGATTTATGCATATCTTGCAATTCGCATTATTTTCGCAGAACATGACGTGATACTTCAAAATTAAATAAACAGCTTCGGTGAAATAAAATTTTTTACCGAGCTCTTATGTATATAATAAAATTAATCTGGGACGATTTTGTGTTAAAATTAGATCATGCATAATGATAATAAACTCATTAGAAATGATTAGATATAAAGAAGATAAAAAGTCTTATACAAATCGTATTTTTAAATGCATTTTATGAAGAACGAGATATTTGACAGAAGAAAAAGATATTTACAGCCTCATGAAACTAACGATGAAAATTGAAACTCGCTGAATTCTTTGGCACAGAAGAGTCATCCTTGTTAGGAGCCAAGTTGTCGCACGAATTCCGATTTCTTTCCTGCGCGGTGAACGTTATCTCCGTTAAACGAGAATGCTTTGTTAAACTGGCAACGTGATAAACTGAACGTCTTAGGATTCCTTCTCGGCTTTCTTATTCCCCACGGCTTTGCCATAGTTGTGCCTCTGCTTTTTTTTTCTTCTCGCAAGTCGTGACGGATTCTTAGCGTGACTTCCGTCTCGTTTTCATTGTGGATGCTTGAGGCACGAGGGAAGCTACACGAGAAGGATTCTCGAGGTGCTGACAGATAAATAGAGAAAACTTTCACGTGTGTGTAAATCTTGTAACAGATTGAGTGACGCGTTAAGTAGATAGTGGCGGAAAACACGTGGATTTCAATGTAAAAAAATTACTAATCACATTCTTGCGTGATAAACGCGGTTGCTTGTTTTTTTTTAATAACGATGATACTTTTTGAGACTTTACTTTCTCGCAATGAATTTAACAAATTTATTTTTCGAGAAAGCTAGAATGCATCCATGTCTTCGACAACACTAGAATAAACTTTTAAGGAGGAAACTCGAGAGAAATCTTGTTGCATAAATCGCGGAAAGACAAGAGCGCAATTGGAAATTGGCCACGTGCGAGTGACACGCGATAGGATGGTGCTCTGTTGGTTTTGTTGGCCAGCAGCCTTGATGAAAAGGGGAGAAGGAGATCAGAGAGATGCGTAAGCCTGGCTCAAGCGATTCTTTTCCATTATTCAAGCAATTTATTTTCTGAAGCGGCATTCCGCGTATTCGCGACCTATTCCAACTTTTCGCTGCAGCTACCTTTCCCTTTACCTGGAAAGGGCAAATTTTAATATAAAAAAAATCGCGGATTAATGAGAGAAGAAACAATCGCGATTGATCATTTGCAATTCTGCTTCCACTTGTATCTTGGCCAAGGAGATTGGCTTTATTTTATTATATCGTTTTTGTAGTAAAATACCTTTTTACTCTCGCGAACGAATATATTTACAAGCCATTTAGCCGTCGGGAAATGGAATAGCGAGTCATCGTAGGCGAAATACACTCGCACATAAATATTTGATTGATGAAGATTAGTAGGGGTCTCTTTTATAGGCTACATTATTGCCTTAATCTATGGATCTCGCTACCTCAGCACATTTATAGTGAATTTATTTCTTTCGGAAGATGACGATATATATACATTTTTTTTTGTTATTGGAAGAATCCACCCTCGGGGATCTCCGGGGTGTGTTAAGGTGGCGCAATGGTGGTGGCTGGTACGACCTATCGGCCGACAGGATGACGAATAAGCTTCATTCTCCCATGAGTCCTTTTGAAAGGTATCCACTCGTATCATAGATACGTTCTTCCATTCATTGCTCCCTCAGGTATTTTTCGGAGCGAAAACCGAGGAAGGGGTCGGGACGTTTATTCACTCTCTTTTGACCCCTGCGTCTAATGTTTTCCTAGCCTCGACTTTTGACCCCGAAACTAAGCTAATTCACCGCGATCGTATAGTTTTGGCAGACAAGCCAAAAGTAACTTCCTCAATGTAGAATGTTATTCGATAGGAGTGGAAAGTACATTTTATGTGGAATATCATCGATTGCACCATCCCAATTTCAGTGGAATTTTGTTTTGTGGAACTGACGTTATAAATGTCAGGCGTATAATAGACTCTTTCGGCCTCTCAATGATACTGGATAGAGGTAGATAGAGATATGTTGCGGGTTAAAATAAACGTTCACAAAGGGAATTTTTATGTGAACAAATAACGCATTTCTCTACAATTAAATCCGCAGTTTTAATCTACTTTCAGCGGAATAATTTTACAATCTCTATCGCTCGATAAAAAGACTTTTTGCAGATTTTTTACTGAAATTAAAATCTATTGTATACTAGAAATTGTATACTAGAAACATTAAATAAAAGTTTTATATTTCGCGGTCACTCTAATAGTTCTTATTGCCACG